CTAAAAGACAGTGGTAATGGCAAATTCAGCTAGTGGGTCAAGCTTAAAGTGGTACATCTAGCTGCCTACTTTGACTGCAGAGAAACTATAGATAAACTTGAGTAGGATTATTTGTCTCTTTCTGTTTCAAATTCTGTGGTGTTTCTAAGCCACATTTTGATTATGCCTTAATAAAGACTCTTAACATTCTTAAGTTCAAAAAGCAACTGCAGATTCAAAATGCCAAGCAGCTCTTCCTTGTGATGTCACTCCAAACTGTGCTCCCAAGCCAGGGTTTCACTCAGTCTTTTATTGAATAGTATCTCCAAAAAGAAATGGGGAAGTAGAAGTCGGGACCCACCCTCATTTTATCAGATAATTTTGCCTTTTGATCCCTAGGCCTAGACTATCACCCACACAACAACCAACAGATTTCTCTCTGCTTTGACATGTAAAGCATGCATTCCCACATTCATACACTATCTTACACTATCTTGAGTAGAGAGCAAGGAGTGATCCTTAAAGAATAAGGTCATGTGCCCTAATCACAAGAGGAGTATATGGATCAGATTATGTCTATATTGTAAAACTCATTCTTACAAAATTCCTTTACAGGTAAAACATGGATTAAAATGGAATATTTATTGTAGTTTCTAATATACATAAACTATTTTAGGTTTTCCCCATAAAAATTAAGTCTCATTAAGTTTATCTGTTATAATTTTAGAATGCATATATATATGCTATTAAAGAAAGTTCTCATAAAAACCTCGTGTCTTCAGACTGGACTTTCTTCTGCAAGACGAATTAACCAATTAGAATCCCAGAAATTCTGGAGAGTCTAGAATGCTTCAGGTCCAAAGCCTAATTGCCATTTATCTCAGGGTATCTTTAGTCCATAAATAACCATTTCCTTGCCCATTTCTGTTTCTAACCTAATGTCCCATAACTAACAGATAAAAGTCTTTTTGAAAGATATTTATTACCAAACTACCAGGTCCCACAAACCAAAAAGCTAAGAACGTTATCAGATAGCATCTGAGACCTATAGTAGAATTCCTCTGCTTTGTTATGACTGCTTACTGAATGTATCCACAAATGTATTGGAGAAGTCTCTTGATTTATGCCTTTTCTTTATTCTGTTACTATAAAAACTCATGAAACTGCTTCCATGCTGGAACATGGAATTTCTGGTAATCTGAATCTGTGTTCCTGAGACATAGTCACTCATATTTGGCTCCAGAATAAACTTGGAGTGAGTTATGCTTTTATATTATAAGATGTATAATATGTTATATATGATAGACCACTATGATATATATGTATAAAATAGTCCACTAAATTTCATGTGAAATGTTAACTCAAGACTTTTCATTGTTGGGAACTTGCATAAGATCAGACCTAGACAGTCTGCACAGAGATAGCATTCTTAAATAAGATATCATCAGTTCATTCAAAAAATGCAATAAATGCTAAATATATGTCAGATGCTCTTCTAAGTACCCAGGTATAGTGTTTCACAAATCAACCTCTTCATGAGGTTTAGATCTGTATGTCAAGGATATGTAAAATAAACTGAATTGTAAAATATGTAATAGACTCAAACTGGAGAAAACTAAAACAGTGAAGGAGATGGGAAGGGGCAGGAAGGGCTGAGGTTAAAAATAAAGACAGGTGCTCAAAGCAATTCAGAAAGATGTAGCATATAGGTAAAACCTGGAAGAAATGAGGTAGTCACCTTCATGGAGAGCTGAGCACAAAGCATTCAAAGCAGGCAATAGAGCAAATGGAAAGGCTTTGAGCCTTGGTGAGTCCTAGCATAATCGGTAGCCATGGGAAGGCCAGAAAAATCTTAGCAAGTGAGTGATGAAAAGCATCAGAGGAAAGAGGCAGGCAAGATATTAGCATGTGAGAAAAGCAACAGAGGCATAAAAGGCCTAGATCATGAAGCAAAATGAATTTTGGTTGTTACTCTAAGCAAGGTGGGAAGCAGTGTTTTAACGCGGCCATTCTGACTACTGCAGTAAGAACTGCTTGAGAGGTAACAAGAACAGGAATGGGAGAGTTGTTACAAGGTTATCCTAAAAAGCAATAACCCAGAAAAGGTGAATGGCTTAGAGATTTTATTAGAAGGGGAATAAGTAAGAAGTGGTAAAATCTTGCAAACATTTTGATAGCAAAATAAAAAAAAATATGTTCAGAGGATGGAGAGATGGCTCAGTGCCCCCCAGCACCCTCATGGCAGCTAACAACTGTCTGTAACTCCAGTTCCAGGGGACTCGATGCCTTCTTCTGTAGTCTACAGGCATTGCACAATACAGGTGAATTTACATCCATACAGGCATAACATTCATACACATAAAATATAAATAAATATTATGCTCATGCTATTGGAGTCCATCTTACTATTTCAGTTTATCAAGGCCCTTTTATGTCCTAATTCTAGCTCTTTCTTCCCACAAATATACGCATTCTCTTCCATTTAGCAGCAACTTGACTAAGCTGTTAGGCAACCATTGAAAGTCATATTATATTAAATGTCAACTTCGACCTTAAAGTAATGTTTAAAGTCCTAATTATACGATTTTAGGCAGTCCATTCCAAAGAAATTACATTTTTTTCTATTTCTTCCTTTTTATTCTGTCTTAGTTACTTTTCTGTTGCTGTGATAAAATAACCTGAAGAAAAGCACCTAAAAGAAGAAAGGGTTTATTTGAGCTCATGGTTCCAGGGTACAGTCCCTCATGGCAAAAAGTTGTTGGGCAGGAACTTGAAACAGCTGGTCAGGTTGCAGGATTGCATCTGGAGTCAGGAAGCAAGGAGAGGAGAATGCTGGTGCTCAGCTCACTTTCTCCTTTTCATGCCATCAGGACCCAAGCCCAAGGAATGGTGTCAACCTCCAATAGTGTGGATATTCTCACCTTCATCAACCAAATCAAGATAATCCTTCACAGAGCTGCACAAAGGCTAATCTAATGCAGATAATCCCTCACAGGTATGCCAAGAGGCTTGTCTCATGAGTGATTATAGGACCTGCAAAGTTGGCAATCAACACCAACCATCAGTCACGCACACATGCACACACACACCTCTCAAACTGCTTGACTGATTAAGAAGGGAAGATTTTTAATTAATAGAATTAGTAATTGGCAGTCACAGCACCTATTTATTCATGACTACACTGTGAAATTTGGTCACTGTGACTTGACCCGATATTGTAGACTCAGTGGGTGAAACAGTAGGGAAAACACTTTTCTTTCTGACTTCTTTACCACAGGCAGCCTCTTCTTTAGTAATGAAATCTGGTTTCAATTCTAGTTAAAGAATATTTTTACTTAATTGTTACAGAGAAATAGCTATTTCACAGATAAAAATAGCCAGAAGTACATGCAAATAAAAATTAGAAAATTTATTTTCAATTTCTCAAGATTTTCCATAGATGGCCATGAAGTTATTACATTTTTTCTATAAAGACAACTAGAAGAAGACTATATAAAGGGTGTTTTATTGTTAGAAATATATATAATTTCCAATGGAAAGCCCTTGATGATTTATCAAAGGAAGAGATGCATGCTCTACTTTCCAATGGAAGACTTGGACTTACTAAAAGTACAAATTCAATTGTCTTCAAATACTAAGCTAAAAACATTTACTACTCAACTCAAATTCTGTTAGTCCCATAGCACTTATGAGACAGTTTCCCTAGGCTGTAATGTTGGGTCATGATTCTATACGGTGTTCAAAGAATTCAAATACGAGGACACAAACCTTCAAAGTTTCCTGTTCATCATATGGGCACAAACTGACAAAAATAGATAAAACAACATCATAAACTTTCAGAAATTACAGATAAATGATATTATGACAGTAAATTCACTAAGCCATATTTAGGGCATTGAAAATCAGGATCTACTTATTATCACTTAACAAAATGATGAGGCAAAGTAAGGGAAATCAGAACATGATATACAAAAAATTAGGTATGAATGTTTTGTTGATGTTGCTGTTGAAAACTGCTTCATGATTCATAATCTTTAGAAACTCTCTGGTACTAAATCATTAGATAATTTCTCCATATATGTAAATTAATTATGAGATTAAAGTCAGGGTTTGTAAAAATTATGCTCTTTGAATAAAATCTGTCTTCCCATTATTTTCTATGTAATGTAATGAGGAAAAAATATCTCAGTCTCTTCATTTTGTTAGAGACAAAGTAGTACTATTCCTCTGTATTTAATATATAATAAGAAAACATAAAAATTGATTGCCCTTAATTTTTACAGATATATAAGTACTATCCCATTATCCACTCATAAAGGGTCATTTTGGCTTCTGCCAACTATATTTACTGTATCTCATTACAATTATAGTGCCTTTTTCTTTTCATCAAACATTATGGATAACTAAATGACTTTCCTACAATCTTACTAAGCATTAATCTAAAGCATTATCTAAAACATAGTATATAAAGAAACAAGGCAAACCACCAGAATTTCAGTGACATTTCAGTTATGAATGCTACTTCTTAGAAGGTAGAAGGAAAAGTTAAGAAAAATTTCTATGACTTATAATGGCTTTGGCTGCTGAGACTTGACCACACTTATTTACAGTGTATTTATAAAGCAAACTGAAAAGGTGAAGTCAAACTCATTTCACAGTTCCCAGGGAATCAGATAAGAAACCTGGGTATTTTAAATCATTCTCAGATGTAATTGTTTTTCCTTAAGTGAGTCTTAGAGGAATGATGATAACACCAGAAAAATGGCCAGAATTTTTAGGGAAAAAAAAAAGTGAAAGCGTTCAGTGATAGTTCATCTTATTTCAGAATAATTTTCTCAGAAATTGAAATATAAAATTATTTTCAATTCTTAATTGTTGATAGTAGAAATAAGAGACAAAAAATAGACATTAAATAAATATGTCCTAAATAACAATGAGGCAATACATGTAGATTACAGGACAACAGAACAGACAATGTAAGCTCCATATCATAGATCATTCTTTGAGTTCTGTGTGTTAAATTTTTAAGCTTGTTTTTGTCTTTGCAGTGGCCAGTCAAGATTCAGCTAGAGTCCATTGGGGAAGAGAAGTTTTCAGCTAGAAGGCCAAGCTTCCTTTTCCATTGCAACATTTAAGTTCACTGTCCATGTCGCTTCTGTCACATGTTGTTATTTTTGATGTTTTTCACTTTTGAAGATTTCTATAAGTATTAAAACATAAGAAGAGTTCATCAGAAGTAGGTACTGGTATCAACCAGGGAGAAACAGCCTGCTTCCAAATACTGTTTATAGGATATCCACACACACAGTTCTTTTGAGAAATAATAAGGAACAAAGAAGAGCCAGAAAAGTAAAGCACAAGGAAAATATATAAATTCTTCAGAAACAACATAAATATTTCTATTAGTCAGAAGACCTTATATTTCTAAGTGTTTCCAGTTAAAAAAATGATTTTGTATGCATCTTAGTTTATCCTCATAAGTCTCTTTTATAGATAATGTAAGGCAGGAAACAGGCCACAGTAAAGTTGTGGCCTGCCCAGCAAATCACACAGCTCGAGAGGGATTGAAGCCATCTGTGACCTAAAGATGGCATTCCAGATCCTTTATTCTTTGCCTGTGGTATTCAACCTGCAGGCAAGAACACAAAACTAGTGCAGTGCTAAGAAATGCAGAGGAAGACAAGGATATGTGCAAGCACTAAACTGAAGGAAAAGCAATAAATTTCAAGCACCAGCTATACTACCTAAAGTTCCCAGATAACATATAAGCAAACCAACATTGATACCACTTCCTATCAAACTCCAAAGAAAATCAGAGAGGAGGGCTGTTTGTTCTAAGACACAATATTTCATTCCTTTCCACTGTGACCTTGGCAAGTATGATGGGATAGGATAGTTAGCTAAGAAAGCAGATAGCGAGCGCTGCATGAAAATGATTAAGAGGTACCAAAACCCTGAAGTCTCTGCGGGCTCTCGTACCTGAATTGTGGAGGTCTAGTAGAGAGCTCTGGACAGGGCTTTGGTGTGGCATTTGCTCCTGAGGGCTCATCAGCCTCTAACTGATTTCTCTTCCTCCTCCCTTCCTTCCTTTCTCCTTCTCTTCTATTCTCTCTCTTTCCCTTCCTTTCTTTTTCCTTCTCCTTCCTTATTTTTCTTCTCCTTCCTGTCTCTTTTCATCCTTAAAACCTTTTCTTTTTTGTCATCACTAGCTGAAAAATGTCAAGGTACCTAGTCTTATGGGAGTTATTTCCTCATCTTTACAAACAGGAGAGAGCAAGCTATAACAACGCTGATTATATAAGATTTTCACAGAGATCAAATGAAGCAATAGCAAAAGTCTAAAATTGCCCCATCAATGTTATCAAATTTTATAATATGCTTGAAATACAAAGACAAAATTTACAGTTTTCTGACTTCTAAGGAGCTCAGGCTAATTGGGAAAGAAGGAAAATTATTTCAAAGTAGGACAGAAAACAGTTTCTCTACACATCATACTAATTCTCTTATTGGTTAATTTTTTTGTCAACATCTCAGTGGTGAATTGGGCTTATAGATAGTCAGTGTCCTGATGTGGAAGGTAGCTGAGGTCTCATGTTCTCTTGGATCTCATTTCCTCCCTTCTTCATCCACTACAGTCCCCAACTGCATTCTTTAGATTTTTACACCTTTCTTATATCAAAAGCAGCAGCTCAACTCCTCACTGCAGAACAAGCAGTATAGATGCTTTTTAAACCCACAATTTTTAGGCAGTATGCCCAGATTTAATTCCCTCTTCCATCACTTACTATCTTTGCAACATTATCTGCAAAAATGGATAACAAAAATATTTTTCCCTTGTAGTGTTTCTTTTCTTGCTCAGGTAGATAAGAGAAAATGAAATAAATATATTGGGGTAAGGATAGAGTCTGAGACCCAGGCCTGAGGCCTGAGTAGGCCACTCACTGGCTACGTGTCTTGAGAATCCTTTAGATTCCATTTCCTTACTAGTGGATGAGTTTTGATAATAATAATTCTGAGGTATAGAGTTGAGAAAATATCAAATGAAATAATGGATCTGCAAGTGCTTCCTAAAACATAAAGTGCTACAGAAATATTACCTGCTATTATCGCCCTGTCTTCACATAAAACTATTACAAGCCTGTAGATGGAAAGCTCCATCTGTCAGTTTGACAGTTATTAGTCTCATTCTCCCTTGTCAATAAACTGATTTAACATAGTACATAGTAAAGCAGAAATGGGAAAAGTGAGGGAATTAGAATAGTTATATTATCTCAAAATGAAATAATGGATGTAAGTCACATTTATTTTAGAAGGGACTTTCTAAGTCATTTCAGACTGCTTGATCTCATCCAGCCTTGCCCCTGTAAACCCATCCTCTGGTGGCCAATTCGAGTGGGCGGAGCTCCGTTCTCATTGAATAGGGAATCTGTTCCTATCACACTACTTGTAAGAACTCTCAAAGCAAGCAGAAACTTTTTTTCTAATAAATACTTAAGTTTTAAAATGCAAATTGATATAAACCCCTTACTTTTTGGCATTTTTTTAACCATTCCTGTAGAAATGTCACAAATTTAACATGGAGGTAATACAACTTACATTGAATTCAACAGTCACTGAGCCAATTATTTAGATGGTGAAATTAGCAGAGAAATTCCAAGTTATATAGAGGAACTTCTTTGGGATTAAGATAAATCTCACTCATAAAAAGACATAAAGTAGGGGCTAGAGAGATGGCTTAGTGGTTAAGAGCACTGTCCTGGCTGTTCTTTCAGAGGGCCTGGATTTGAATCCCAGCACCCTCATGGTGGCTAACAACCATCCATAACTGCAGTTCCAGGGGATCTAACACCTTCTTCTGTCTTCTGGGAGCACTGTACAACATAGGTGCACTTATATACATGTAGGTATAATACTTATACACCTAAACTATAAATAATAAATAACTAAATAAATAATTTAAAAAGACAGAATTATATTTTTTATTATTTTTAATTTTTTTTATGTGTATGAGTATTTTGACTGTATACATGTAAGTACACTGTGTGCATGCAAACCCATGGAGGGCAGAAGAGGACATCAGAGACCCAAGAACTGGATTATGGACTGTTATTAGCTGCCACATGGGTACTGGGAACTGAACCCAGGTCCTCTGCAAGCGCCAGTGCTCTTAACTGCTGACCCATCTCACCAGGTTCCTACTTCATTTTCCTTTCTAAAAAATATAAACTAAGCAAGTGAACTTCAATATAAGGAATATATTTCTCTAAAAAGAACTTTCTGTTCTATCCACAAAAAAGTAGCCATAAAATCAAATAAGTAAATTATTTAAATAAAAAGATTAACATGAAGGGAACTTTCCATTCCTCATATTGAAGGAACCAGATAGACTCCATTTTGAATGTCCTCTATTTTGAAATGTCAACCCCAGTAAGTTTCAGTTTCCCAGAAACTTTAAGTCTCTGTTTCCTGGAAAAACTCAGTTATCATATACTGGAAACTGGTCATTAAGATTAGCAAACCTTGGATGAAAACATCTGGCCAGAAAGATAGCAATCGGAGTCCTTGCCACAGATTAACCCATAGGAATTTAGCCAATGAGATGCAAATTGTGGTCTGGACATGGGCACTAACCAATGAGAATAAAGATCATGGTTTTGTGGGTTTTGCCCTATAAAAATGCTTGTTAACTGCAACTCGGGGCTAGACTCTGCAATTGGCATGGAAGTCATAGCCCCAGCTATCTGGAATATAATTTTTGACTGTTTAAGTAAATTCTTTCAATTTTTCCTTGGTCTGTCTCCAATTATTCCTAATTCCTGGACCCAACATTTTGGGGTCTCGTCTGGGATCAGAAAAATTGGGACAGACACCCAAAAAGGTGCACACCCCTTGAAACCAGCCTTGGTAAGTCATATTCTGGTTTTGAGTTTTTCTGGTGTCTGGACAAACGACTGGGGCTCAACAGGGATCAGGCAGATGCGCTATTGATGCCCGAGCTGGAGGAGACTAGGGGACGCCCTATCTCATCCTCAGGCAGAAGACAGGTTCTACCTAACCTCTTTGGGTCAGGAAAGGAGCAGTTGTTTATTCGGCTGACTCTACACGCTGCATTGGTACTTCCCTCCCCTCAGATCTGCCCTTCCCAGACCCTGACTGACTGTTGTTGGTGCTTTCGCTTTCTGTTCGCCTCGCTAGTTCTCTTTGTCTTCATCTCTTTCTCACTCAGCCTATTTTTTCCTCCAGGATGGGGCAACAGCTGCCCTCCAGTCCCCTGACTTGGTCCTGGGCCACTTCTCGGACTTTCAGAAGGTGGCCTCCACCATGTCCGGGATCCAAGTCACGCCCAGCTGCCTCCGGACACTCTGCTCTCTCAAATGGCCATCCTTTGATGTGGAATGGCCCCCAGAAGGTTCTTTTAACTTGACTCTTATTTTTAGAGTTCACGGAGTTGTCTTCAGTACACCCAGCCACCCTGACCAAATTCCTTACATCTTGGGCTGGTGCTATCTGGTAACAGACCCCCCTGACTGGTCGCACCCATTCCTGCCCCCGTTAGATCCCAAGGCTACTGCAACCCTCCTCCCCATCAGGGAGAAAGATCAAACGGGACCCTCTCAGCCCCAGGTCCTTCCTCCTTCAGCACCGCCAGAGGAGGTTTTTCTTCCCCCACCCTACATGGTGCCTCCTCCACATGGGGGGCACCGAGGGGGCCATCCTCAGACACCCTGTAGGTCTCGTTCCCCCTCTTCAAGATCAGAACAGCCAAAGAATTGGGCTACATCATCTTCTGACTCCTCCAGGTCCCTGTCACCCTCCGCTCCCCCGCCCATCCCCAGCCCCAGCCGGCTTCGTGCCCACTCAAAAGGGGAGATAAGGTTGTCAGGGCATTGCTCCTGAAGGAGGTAGACGCCCCCCGCCATGAACAGGGAGAGAACCCCTTGGCCTACTTCCCCTTTTCTACCAGCGATCTGTATAACTGGAAGTTACAAATCCCCTCCTTCAGGGAGAAACCCCAAGCCCTTGTGGTCCTTGTGGACACTGTATTTTTTACTCATCAGCCCACATTGGATGACTGCCAGCAGGGACTACAGATTCTCTTCAACACGGAGGAGAGAGACCTGATCAGAAGGGAAAGCTGCCTGCTGGTCCCTGGGGATGGGTGCCCCACAGACAAGGAAGATCTTATAGCAGCAGCTTTCC